CCTAAATGCGACGTTAAAACGACTATGCTTATGCAAAAATGCCAAATTAATCACAGGAATATTTTTCAAGAATCTTTCAAGTCTCATCCACTCATCTTAATTAAATACAGATAACTTAAATCGATAAATAACCAAGAATCCTCCCCAGTGGAGTCGCCAAATTGTAGGCGTCGTTCGAAGTGTGCCTACGTTAAAGCATGTGGTGAATATGCTTGGCACTCATAGGAAGTGGGAATTGACATTACGATTAGGGACAACGATTAGGGACAAAGAAAAGTAGGGAGCCGCTAACAAGTTTGTAAGGAACTTGTAAACCGTTCACGGATCATAAAAAGGCAACCACGATAAGGGACAACGATAGGCAACAACGATTGACCCGTGAAGGTTACACCCCATTCATAATCCATGAGATTACTAACTCCATATGGTTCGGAACCACGAAAGGAGGATCGGGGATGATGGTACGAAGTGAGTCATGGAGTCACATTCGCCCGTATTGGTCTCTACTCGATTCTTGTAGTGAAAACTGATTCCTGCGATCTTAAAGGCATACAAACAAAATATTCAATTTGCTCCAAACTATTATTAAGCTAAATTAGTTTAATATTAATGCAACATATAATTCTAAAATATTTATGACCACTTTGATTAATAACAAGATTAAAAAGGAACCTAAATCGGTCGTCCAAATTATCTTATTAGGCGTGATTTTCTATTACATATTCTCTTTAAACATCCAATATGGTGATCATAAATATAATAAAATAAACATTAATATTGGAAGCAATTTAACAATAATTCCAACAACATAAAATCGTTAGAAAAATAATAGAAATAAAAGGAACATAATTCTTACTTTTATTCTATTTGCTTGCAACTACAAAATAATAAACGAGCTAGTAACTTCAAGGAAATACTAAAACAATAATTAAATTAAATTAAATTAAATAGAATTGATTTGGGGACAAACCCTCAAACAGTTCTACCTTTCATGCTTTGGTTTAAGGACAGAACCACGAGTAAATTATGGACTCCTTGGAATGCTTGAAGAAGGAATTTTGAAAGAAGAAGGGTAGGCTAGTGTTTAGGCTAGAGCATAGAAGAGAGAAAAATGGAGAATTAATTGATGTCCTGTACATCAGAAATGAGGGGGTATTTATAGAAAAAATGTGCTGAGGGAACACACGGAACTCTAAAATGATAAAAACCCTAAAAAAGTATACCGCGACACGGCAAAGTGTACTGTGACACGGGAAATCCCACCGCCAGACAGGAAACATTCCCGTGACACGGTGTACTTTTGTGTGACGCGGGAAATATTTAGTGAACGGGGGAGAAAACGCGTTAAGGGTTTACGCGGAAAGGACACGGAAACCCCCGTGTCACTAGAAACCCCATTGTTAGACGAGACAATTTCCCGTGACACGGTGGACTGCTGCCGTGACGCGAGAGTTTTCAGTCTGCTTTTCCGTCTAAATTCATTTTTAACCCTAATTTCGTTCAGCATTTTAAGTGTCGATTGATAATTTCGGGCCATTTTTTATTTATTATTATTTGGGCTAAAATAAGAAAATAAGTAAATAAAAATAAATAAAAAGTTTGGGCCAAAATTAAATAATAAAACAATAAAATAAAAAAGGTTTGGGCTAAAATTAAAAACTATGCTTTGACTAAACATCAAGACTAATCCATGGACTATTCAAAAATTGAATTTAATTAAATACGATTTTTTTAAGCACTCTCGGAATTAAATACTGAACCCGACCAATAGTGGCGGTGAAAGGTTGTTCATCATTGGGTTTGGTTTTTGGGAGACATTTTTAAGTGTCTACAGAAAACCATCCCTCTTCCCTTCCTTGATGTCGAACAACTCCAAAAGAATGAGAATAGCTTGATTAAGGATCCTGTTAGCGGAATTGTTCACGCCATTAATGAAGCTCAAAAAACATAATAAAAATCTAAATTTGAGTTCGAAATTCAAATATTCTTCTACTAATTTTTAGATTCCGGACCATATCAAATATCTATACAATGAAATGGTTGAAATTAGGTAGATTTAAGATCTAAGAGTTTGGAAGATCTAAGAGTTTGGAATGAGAATAAGAGCAAATGAAGAACAATAAACAAAAATCAAATTATAACTAAAATTGAACTTTTTAGCTTTCTGATTCAAAATTTTAGCATGAATCTAATTTTTTTTAATAGGAAAAAGGGGCCGGTTTTCACTGGGTGGTGATGGGAAAGGGTTCCGGCGGTGTAGGTGGGGGTGAGGGGCTGTCAAGAGGATTGGGGAGGGTGGATGGCATGGGGTTGGTGTGGACTGTTTTTTTTTTTTTTTTTTTTTTTTTTTTTTTAAAAAAAAAAACAAATAAATTCAACCAATCACAAAGTGACATGTAACATCTTAACCTATCAAAACAGGTTACCAACAGGTTAGGGGCCAATAAAAGAAGATGTCCTATAAAGGTAAAATTATTAAATAATCTAAAGGTGGGATTATTAACAGTCAACCGACCAAAAGTGGGATGATTAGAATTAATTTTACCAATATTAAATGTAGCACATAAATAAAGAAAGTGTAACACTCTAAAACACGGTCGCATTTGATAAATGTAACACACACACACACAAAAAAAAAAAAAAAAAAAAAAAAAAAACGAAGCGAGTAAGTAAAAATAATATTAGTTCAATAAAAATAATTTCAGTACATCAAAAATAAGGTGAAAAGAACATGATCTTACATATATATGTTTGTTACATTGAATTTTGTATCTTTTAGATCCTAAATAAATAGTTTTTTTATTTTTTACAAACTTAATTATCAAGGGATCATTAATTCTTGTCTAGCAAAGTGAAATAACTTAAATATATATCTACTACTTTAACTACTAAACTTATATATAAAAAAAAAACCTTGTGTAGACCTGGTTGACTATAATATTACTGTGGACCAAGGTTTATAATTTTATACAGCGCGCAATTGATATATTGTTGAACATAGTGACCTTAATTTTAACTTAGTAACCTTTATTAAATCTTGAGTGACCTTTAATATCATTGTGACCTGAAATACTCACATATTAGCTGACGTTATATTGAATATAGTGACCCTAATTTTAACATAATTTTTTTTTTTATTATTTTTATTTGCTACTCCCTCTATATTTTTTTAAGTGTTACAGTTTCACCGGCACATAGTTTTGACAATTTGATTGACTTAAATAAAATAAGAGGTAAGTGGGGTAGTTAATGTTGTTAAACGCCGCTCCCATTTTACAGGGCAATGCTCGCATTTTTTGTTTAAAATTCCAATTTTACCCCTAATATTTAAATACGCTTTTTCCACTTTACGACTCACATTCTCACTCTCTAACCTCATTCACTATCTCTCTTACTCTCTAACTCTCTAAAAAACTTGAAAATTAAAATCTGAAATTTATTTTGTTTTACAAAAAAAATCAACAATCATGAAAAATAATCTACAAGCATGTACACAAAAACAGATGGGTGATTCGAGGTGAATAATGGTGACGTACGGAGGGAGGAGTTTGGCCAGCGGTGGAGGCAACGGCGGTGGCGGCGTTAGCGGCGAGCAGGTAAATTCTTTTTACAAAAAATCGGAAACTCCAGGCTTCCGCCCAAAATTTCAAAAAGTACCTAGGAGGTTCCGCCTGAAAAATCTGGATCCTCTTAGGTACTTTCGAAAATTCTGGGCGGATCTTACTTCCGCCTAAAATTTTCGAAAGTACTTAGGAGGATTAGGAAATTCCAGGCGGATCCTCCGAGGTCCTTCTGGAATTTCTGGGCGGAAGCTTGGAAATTCGATTTTTATTATTTTTTTTCGTGAATAATATGATTTGTGTTTGTGTTTTTTTTTTTTCAAAGAATTATTTTTGGAACGATTTCTATTTTTATTATTGTTATTATTAGTTGATTTTTGTGTTTTTGTTATTATTATTATTATTATTATTATTATTATTATTATTATTATTATTATTATTATTATTATTATTATTATTATTATTATTATTATTATTATGTGAATTGTTATTTTGATGATTGTTGTTGTTTTTTTTTTAGATTTTATTATTGTTATTAGTATTATTTTTATTATATTTTTTAATTATGATTAATATTATTATTATTGTTATTGATATTAGTGTTGTTGATATTAGTGTTGTTATTATTATTATTGTTATTATGGTTATTGTTATTGTTGTTAATTTTATTTTGTTGTTGTTGTTGTTGTTGTTGTTATAATAATAATAATAGTAATTATAATTATAATAATAATAATAATAATAATTATTATTATTATGATTATTATTGTTATGATTATTATTATTATTGTTATAGTGGTTATTGTTGTTGTTTTAATTTTTTGTTGTTGTTGTTATTATTATTATTATTATTGTTATTATTATTATTATGATTATTATTATTATTATTATTATTATTATTATTATTATTATTATTATTATTGTTGTTGTTGTTGTTGTTGTTGTTGTTGTTGGTGTTGTTGTTGTGATTATTGTTATTGTAATTTTTGTTTTTATGATAAGTGTTCTTAGTATTTTTTATATTAAAAGTAAATTGGAAAAATTATTATTATTATTATTATTATTATTATTATTATTATTATTATTATTATTATTACTACTACTACTACTACTACTACTACTACTACTACTACTACTACTACTACTACTACTACTAAAATTGGATTCTGTACTTATTTTATGTAGATCGAGGGTTCTGGTGCTCGACATGCAATATCACGACGTCTGAATACGTCTGTTAGGAGACGGTCATCTCGTTCAGCACCGTTTCAGCCCGAGCAGCAATACGGGTCTACTAGTGGTTGGTTGGGAGACCCACATTCTGGTAGTTGTCATCCCTTGTACTCTGCAAGTGGAGCACCTACATCTAACGAGGAAAACGAATTCTCGGCTAGTATTGCTGGTGACCGGGATGAAGAATCGGACCCTTAAGATTACCATATGGTATATAGGGGTCAGTTAGGGAGATTTGTTGGTAGTGGATCGAGTCAGCCTACTACCAGCTCCACAGAGGCATGGTTAGTGCAGGAACCGATGTCGGGTGGTCTTGAGGATGGGACTGTTATCCCTAGTTTTGGTGGTCACGTGGCACGATATATCTGGATCGAGCATGAGCGTAGTGTTTTGTGCTGTTTGAGTAGGTCAAAGTTGTGTTCTGACTTGGTTATGTGGCGAGGTCGTCAATCAGTGGAGAACCTCGAGGTGATTCATGGTAGTTGGTTGTCTCACTTGCCCGGGCTGATGTTTAAAAGACTTAATTGGCCGTTGATTTCTGCTTTTGTTGAGAGATGGCAGCCAGATACAAACACCTTTCATATGCCATTTGGGGAGATTATGATCTTGTTGCATGACGTGTACAATATACTTTGGTTACGTGTCGAAGGCAATATGGTCACCACTACTCTTAGCACGAACGTGTTACGGGAAGCTTGCTCGATCACCATGGATATGACTCCAGATGATTTGTCTGAGATTTGCGGCACAAAGACGATTTGGCAGGGTAGTGGGGTGTTGAGTGATAAGATTTTTGAGTCGACATTGGAGGTTGAGCGGGAGTTTAGTGATCAGCTTACTGGATACTTGTGGTTAGTTCTTGGAGGTACACTGTTTGTAGACAAGACTGGTAACCGTACGCATCCTTCCTTCCTCCACGAGCTATGTTATATGGATGTCCCTATTAACGAGTATGCTTGGGGAACAGCTGCACTAGCTTACTTTTATCGGCAATTGGGCACGGCATCACGGAACGGTGCTAATTCGATTGCTGGTTGTCTCACGCTTCTGCAAGCGCGGATTTACGAGTACTTTCCGTGCTTTCGGCCACAGCAGGGTACCTTAACCCGGGACCTTCAAATGCCTCGTGCATTGGGATGTTGGACCGGGATGTCCTAGCAAGAACTTGGAGCGCCTGTTATCTTTTCGTACTAGAATTGATGTGCAGACTGACCATGAGGTGAACTAGCTACTGTACGGAGTTGATCCTGCATTACGAGTGCCCCCCACTTTATTCATTGGCTGCATCCAGTACATTAACATCATTGAGCCGTACATGCTTAATAGAGTGGTGCGACAACTTGGTTTCGTGCAAGGTATTCCCCATGAGATAATCAGGCCAGAGAAGGCCAAGAGGCGGACTAACTTGAAGATGTACCGGGTAGACTTCCCGACCGAGATGACAGATGTGATGTGGAAGAGGTTTGTCCATGGGGTATCTTAGAGTGTAGTTTTAGGTGCCCTCGCCAGGCTAAGTGCTGCAGCTCCTTCGGTTGCGCCTGGTTACATGCAGTGGCTGTATAGGATTTCTCACCTGCGGGTATCTCCAGGTGCAGGAGTTACAAGCAACCTACATGAGCAGACTAACACTGATTATGTAAGTCTATATGCTTATTATAATATTAAAAATGACTTCTACTAATTGTTGTGTATATAATATGTTATTGTTTGATTTGTAGTGGATGGATCGGTCCATGGAGATTCACCACAGAGCACTGGCTGAGTATCCTCACATGTCGAGTGAGACTCGGACAATGACTGAGCAGCTTGTATTCGATTGGAAGTAAAAAATGGGGCTTTAGATTATTTTGATTGGAAGTCGTGTTAGTGGTTTTAATTACTTGTTTGAACTGATTTATTATTATTTTTTTATATTTGTCATGTAATGTAAAATCTGGACACTGATTTATTTTTTGTTACATGTCATGTTAGATTTTAAGTAGATTAAAATCAAGCACATTAAAAATTATATTTATAATTCTACTATTCTTACAAACGTTCAACGTTAGTGAATGTACATTACAAACTACCTAACTAATGCATCCCACATGTTCCTTCTAAATTCAAATTGTTGATCCCATCCATTAACACTAGCCTCGTGGTGTTCAGTCCACCAACCGGCGATCGGCGGGAGAGGTGAATCAGGTACAAGGTCAAGACGGATGAAATGTGATCCACCAACTGTAGCAATCACGAACTCTCGACTCGGTGTCTGAACCCCGTTGCGTGCCCTCAATGGTAAGACTATGATGCATGGGTAGTAGCAAGTTGGTACTAGGCCGACCATCTCTGGTTTTGTTATAAGACGATTTCACCAAAATAAATCCCAAATTTATGGAAACACCATCAGCCCATGTAACTACATTGTAAAATGTTGGAAATAACGTATCCATGACAAAATTCCTACTATAATTCACACCGTCACCGCCGTCTTCAAATTCCATATCCTATACAAATTAAACAAAACATAGTTTATGTCGTTACGTTATTTTTTATAATATTAATAATAATATTTATAAAACAATTTTACAACTATTAATATTATTAACATTAATTACTAATACTAATAACAACAATCATAATAGCAACAACCCTAATCACTACCACCAACAAACAACAATAATAACAACAATTATTAAAAATTACTAATAATAATAATAATAATAATAATAATAATAATAATAATAATAACAATAAACAATAATAATAATAATAATAAACAATAATAATAATAATAATAATAATAATAATAAACAATAATAACAAAAAAATACAAAAAAATAACAATAACAATAACAATAATAATAATAATAATAATAATAATAATAAATTATAAAAATAAATACAAAACAATAATATCCTAACATTAATTATTAATTAATATAATAATAATAATATTTATAAAATTATATTTCTACTAATTAATAATAAGAATAACCACAACAACAACAATAATGAAAAGATTAACAACAACAAAAACAACAACAACAACAACAACAACAACAACACAACAACAACAACAACAACAACAACAACAACAACAACAACAACAACAACAACAATAATAATAATAATAATAATAATTAATTATAATAATAACAATAATAATAATAATAATAATGTTACAAAAAATAATCATATTACTAATAATCATATTAATACAAAACAATAATAATTACATTTAATATTAAAAACTTAATCACAACAACAATCACAAGCGCACGAAACAAAATAACTTAATTAACATTAAACAAAAAAAAAAACATAATTAACATAAAATAAAAAAAATAAATTAAAAAAAAATCTGGAAAAGGGACATCCGCTTCCGGAAGTCCCATGGTGGATCCGCCTAAAATTTTCGGATCCACCGTGGAACATCCGAAAGTTTTAGGCGGATCCTTACTTCCGCTTGAAATTTTCGGATGTTTCATGGTAGATCCGAAAATTTTAGGCGGATCTACCATGGGACATCCGGAATTTTTAGGCGGATGTCCTATTTCTAGAAAATAAAAAAACAAAAAACTTACAGAATGTTCTGACGCAATCTCCGGCATATGAATGTTCCACTTGTCGTCCATGACCCAAGACTCGTAGAAAAAAATTTATGATTAATTTTTTTTAAAAAAAAAGGAATTAAGGTGGTCATGGGGCCGATTTGGTTTTAAGGTCGGGGGGACCGATTTAGTGGACTCGGGATAGTAACGTCGTAATTTGAGGGGACCGTTAGACAAAATGTGTCCATATGGGGAACAAAGTCCTTTTTATAACACAAATTGCATAAAGGACATATTTTTCCATTCAAGTCAAAATGGGAGCGTTACTATGTAAAATGGGAGCGACGAATAGCAATTCACTTAAAAATATTAAGACAAAGATAGTGGGGTTAATAGTTTATTGAAAAGTAATGAATGTTAGAGAAAATATATAATAAAAAAGTAGTTGTGGATTTGGTTGGGGACCATGAGAGGAGAGAGATATAATTTTTTAATGTAGCCTTTTGGCAAAAAAGAAAGTGTAACATTTAAAAAAACATGGCCGGAAATAGGAAGTGTAATACTTAAAAAAAACATGGAGGGAGTAGTATATTATAGTTTTTTTTACAAAAAAAAAATAATCCTCTGATGACCATTATAATAACACAATGAGTTTTATTTTACCATAATACCTTTATTTTAAGATAGTGACCTTTTCATAGTGTTTCTAATATTTGTGGTCCAAAATAAATTAATATAAACCAGGTTCATTTAAAAGTTGAAAAAATGGAAATAAATAATCTTACCTTTGCTCGAACTGAAAATAACAAACCCACCTTTTGATATTTACGAAGCAAACCCACCTTTGTATGTGATCTTCTTTTAATGAACCTTGACATGTTGGTGACCTATTGTAGTAGGTTGTATGCCACATGTCAAATATTAATTGGTGCATTTCATTATTTATTAAAAAGAAGCAAAACCAAAAAAATAAAAAATAAACAAAAAAACAAAAAAACAAAACAAAACAAAAAACAAAACAAAACAAAATGAAAAATGAAAAAAAAAATCCCAGCCATCAACCCTCACCAACCCCACTTGCCACCTTAAAACCCTAACCGGCTATCCTTGACCCAGCCACCACCAAAAACCAGTCAGCTGCCCTCAGCCTCCAAAAACGACCCAATTGATACCCATCAACCGTGCTGTGGTTTGAGTGTGTTTTATGGGGGGTTTTCAAGGGGCTACGATTTTCAAGGGGCCGTTTTTGAAGGTTAAAGGGGTTAATCGGGGCTGGGATGGAGGTTTTCGGGCATTTTGCGAAGGTTAGAGGGGTTAATCAGGGCTGGGGTGGAGATTTTCGTCCGTTTTGCGAAAATTAGAGGGGTTAATCGGGGCTGAGGTGGAGATTTTCGGTGGTTTGTGAATATTAGAGGGGTTTTCGGGGCTGGTTGGTGTTTTAAGGGTGGTGGTTATGGTGGTTTCAGGGGTAGGATTTGGGTCAAGGGGTGATTTCGAAGTTGGACTTAGATCGGCAGGGTGTTTTTTTGTATTGGGGGTTTCGACCGGCCAATTTCAGGGGTTTAGGGTGACGATCGACGAGTTTTGGGTGGCGGCCAGTAGGTTTAGTTAGGTCTAGGGTTAGGGTTAGGGTTAGGGTTTTGCGGTGGCTTGAGGGGTGGCTGGTGGCTGGTGGGGTTTTTTTTTTACATGATTTTATTTTTGTCTTTACCTTTTTTTTATTTGGACCAATTATGGAGAGACACGTGGCTTTAAAAAATAAAAATAATAACATTTTAACTTGTTTAATAGGTTGTAGGTAAAAAAATTCATTAAAAGAAGATGGCATACAAAGGTGGGTTTGCCTTGTAAATATCAAAAGGTGGGTTTGTTATTTTCAATTCGAGCAAAGGTGGGATTATTTATTTCCATTTTTCCTTAATAGTTTGTATTTAAGCGTATATTATTGTATAAATTAATGATATCGTACTATGTCTAAATATCCTACATTATCACAAAGGTTTATGTGCCCTTTACATAGTACTTTGATCTGTATCTGATAATAAAATTTAACATTTAAGCCAAAAAAAAAATATCATAAATTCTATCAACAACTCGAGGAATCGAAGACAACTTCGCCCGAAATTACCTTCAGCTGTTTATGACAACTTTCCGCAAGCTAGGGAATGATGCCGAAGACATCTTCTCTTGAAGTCATCCTCATTTGATGCGATAATTTTCCAAAGGAAAATACCGAAGATCCACGCCCGTCGATCTTTAAAAGTTTGCCTGAACTTTGCTCTTGCTATGCCTTTACGTCGGCGCTCTTTCGCTTTGTACCTGTATGTCGGTGCCCTTTGTTCTTGAACTTATATGTCGGTGCCTTTTGCCCTTGAACCTATATGTCGGTGCCTTTTGCTTTTGAGCCAATGCTTAGGCGCTTTAAGCTAAGTGAGACGATCTTTTCATCAGGTCGATCACTTTATGTAATCAAGCCGATTACCTAATCATGTCAAATTTCTTAGAGGGGCTAACTGGCGTACCAAGGAACCCAAAATATATTGCAAAAGGCTAGCTCAACCCCAACAAGTGGCCGTCTGCTTTGGCGTCGCTGAAAAACAATCAGCGTCAGACATATGGCGTTAGCGCCAGGCGCTGGCATTGGCGTCAGGCGCCAAGCACAGAACGTGACGGCAATGCCTAGGGACTGGCGCCAGCACGAAATCTGCTTTAAAATCTCGTTTTCGTTCATTTTCTTGCTCTGGTTTGTTGCGAACGCTGCTCGAAGAAACCGAAAGCTTCATTTGATTGTTGCTCACTCATTTTTCACCCGAATGTGCTTAAATTTATTGCAAATCAAAGCTCTTTTCATCTATATTCCCGATCTATGTAATTTTTCCTCAAACTCACACCGGTTTTTATGAATTCTTGGCATGTTTATTCACGAATTTCATGAAAATTCGAAATTTATAATGCTCAATTTGCTTTGTTTATCAAGTTTTATGCCATGAAATTGCTTGTTTATGCTTGTATATTGCCTTAGGAGTAATTTGAGACTTGTTTGACTCAATTTGGTGAAGAAATGAGCAATACGCCGTTGTTGGACCTCTTAAGGTTGGGCAGAACAATGTAGTTTGTTCTTGATGTTTTTTGCTAGCAATTCTTGTTCAATTTGTCACAATAATCACTATAGTGTAGCAAGAAATTGTTTGATTTCTTGAAAAATGCTGTCATGCTCAATTTGAATTTGTGCTCTGTTTTAGTACTATGTACTCTGTTTTTTGCGAACATAATATCATGCGGCTTAGGCGAAC